AAAGCAGTGCATATGCTTTTGAAAATTAAATCAGACAGACTTAGGAATGCATGCACACATACACACACACAGAACAAAAAAAATAGAGATACGGTAAAGCCAACCCCACACAGCCCAGTAATCTTAGTTGGCTATTTTTCTGTGCTGCACACTATTATTTCAGACACAAAGAATTCCTTTGTCCATTTGTAAGAAAACTTGCCATTCTCTTCCTTAAGAAAACTTACAATCTGCTCTCTTTAGCTGTGAAGTACTTCTCCAAAAACACTTCATAACATAATGTCTACATTGGTACAATTTTTAAAAAATAACTACTGATCCCTAGCTGGTTTGGCTCAGTGGATAGAGCATCGGCATGTGGACTGAAAGGTCCCAGGTTCGATTCCGGTCAAGGGCACGTGCCCAGGTTGTGGGCTCGATCCCCAGTAGGGGACGTGCAGGAGGCAGCCGATCAATAATTCTCATCATTGATGTTTCTATCTCCCTCTCCCTTATTCTCTGAAATCAATAAAAATATATTTTTAAAAAATAGTAATAACTTGAAATATAATTCATAAAGTGTGCAAGTCAGTGGCTTTTAGTATAATCAGAGTTGTACAACCATCACCACTATCTTACTTCAGAACATTTTCATCACCCCAAAAAGAAACTGCATTAGCAGTCACTCTCCATTCCTCCCTCTCCTGTAGCTCATAACAACCACTTATCTACTTTCTGTCTCTATGGATTTGCCTATTCTAGACATATATAAATAGGATCATATAACAAATGGCCTTTTATGTCTGGCTCTTTTCTCCTACCATCATATTTTCAAGGTTCATCCATATTGTAGTATGTTTTCAGTACTTTATGCCTTTTACGGCCAGATAACATTCCATTACTTGTTCCATATACCACATTTTATTTATTCATTCGTCAGCTAATAGACATTTGGGTTTCCACTTTTTTTGCCACACTGAATAATTATGCTGTGAACATTTGTGTACAAGTTTTTGTAGAGATAATTAAGACTTTAAAGTTCACATTCTCATGCCAAATATCATCAATGGCCACAAGAATTTAGTCACAAACCTGTCTGGCATGTTAGCTTCATAATCATATAACTTCTTGTTCCAGGATTTAGCCTTAAGAAAATCATCTTCCAGTGCCTCAGAAATTTCATTCCTTGGCCTCCAACTGTCTCTTTGACTTTCTTCATCAAAACCATCACTACGCATCCGGCTAGATGAGGAAACAAAGGATTTTTAGATTTGGAAGCAATCTGTGAGGCTACTTTATGGAACATCATGCACAAAACTCAGTGAACAAGCTACTAGCAAGAGGGAGAACAAAACCACCTGATACTATTTTTTTAAATCATGTAAAAAGGCATGATCTATTCCTCTCTGTAAATTTGTACCGTTGTCCAATGACAATCTGACCATTATTACCCACCCTATTGAACTTCTGGACTGTGGTACGCTGTAGCTCACTCACTAATTCTCAACTAGGAGGGCATGCAAAGTGGGAAGCAGAGCATAATCACAGCTGGGGACATTGCAAACTATCCCAGATTCTACATATGCACTCCCTTCCTGGAGAACCAGCACCTTGCTGTAGTGAGGTCATAGTAACAATGGGAATAAGTCCTAACCCATGAGTATGTTGGGGTAGAAAATCAGTTGAAAACAATTGACTCAGCCTGTACTTACAATATCCACTAACCAGTCACTAAAGCTAGCTAACTGGTTATCAAAAATGTTTCAGGGTTCCTATGTGTCAGGTACTGTTCTAGCCACTGAGAATATAATGCAAACGAGACAATCAGAATCCCTGCCCTTAAAGAGATTGTGTTTGAAGATTTACTCACCATGAAAGGCATTAATAGTCCACTCAAGAAAAACAAGCTCTGGCTGGTTTGGCTCAGTGAATAGAGCGTCAGCCTGCAGCTGGAAGGGGCAGATGGAAGGGTCCAGGGTTCGCTTCCAGTCAAGGGTACATGCCCGGGTTGTGGACTCGATCCCCAGTAGGGGGCATGCAGGAGGCAGCCGATCAATGATTCTCTCTCATTATTGATGTTTCTATCTCTCTCTCCCTCTCCCTTCCTCTCTGAAATCAATAAAAATATATGTATTTTTAATTTTTTCAAAAAAGAACAATATTTTGGCCCTGGCCGGTGAGTCAGTGGTTAGAGCACTGACCCACAGACAAGGGTGGTGGGTTCAATTCCAGTCAAGGGCAAGTACCTTGATTGCAGGTTCGATCCCCAGCATTGGTTAGGGTGTGTGGGGGACGCAACCAATCAATGTGTCTCTCTCACATCACTGTTTCTCTCTGTGTGTCTCTCCCCCTCCCTTCCACTCTCTAGAAATCAATGGAAAAAATACCCTTGGGGTGAGGATTAACAAAAAACAAAGAAGAACAATATTTTGTTCCTGGAGGTACCACTGGAAACTGAACCAACACAAAATAAATCATCATCTGCACTAACAGTACTTCTAAATTCTCAAAGAACCATCAGAGAAAAAACAAACTGAAAAATATATTTATTTTTAGGTTGAAACTCTGCTTTCTTTACCATGGATACTCTGCATACTTTCTTGTCTAAAACCATTTACACAAAGCCAGTCATACTCCAAAGTCCATGTACTCTGCAGACACATTCACTCTCCTTAACTATCTCACTATTAACACACTGTGGACCAGTAGTTTTATTGCTAGCTTTACCCAGTGGCCAGATAAGTTTCTATTGAACGAGTACAAAAAAATACATTTTACATAAATGTTAAAGGCACACTTTAAAATTAAATACCCATTGCATTTTGAAGTTATTAATTACATGTTCTTACAAGCTAATATCTTTTTAATAACGTGATTGGCCACAAGCCTTAGAACAGAGAACACGAGAATTCTTGTGATCCGTCCGCAATGTGGTAACTATTCCCATGGTGGCTTTAGAATCAGCATTACTACTTTGAGTCATTTTTCATACACACAGCTGTACACCAACAGGCACAGGAGGCCCAACAGATGTTCATAATACTCAGACATTCCTATACCACTACAGGTATGACAACTAAGCCTGCATAATCCCTTATATTAACTCTCAAATTAATAAGAAGGTAATGTGAAAGACTGTGATTTGGTGAAGATAGTGAGTAGATGGAGTAAAGAAGAGGCTTAGAGAAAAAAGTTTAAAAATTAAAAAAAGGCTGGGAGAGAGAATGAAAGACTAATAATGGAAAGGACTATATGATCAGCTAAGCGACCATAGATACAAATAGAAAATCTAAGATTAAAAGATATCAGATAAGGTCAGAATCCATAGAATCCTTAATGTTTACAATTGTTCAAGGTAGACTTTTAAAATTCTCTATTGCAAATGAGTACAAAGAGTGGGACCATATGCATGATAGCCATTATAACCTTTATACTCGGGTCTAGGTTTATGAAAGAGCGAATGCTTAAGGACTCACAAAACTGAATCCATGTATCTTTAGCATACCAAAATGATTTTAAACAAAAAGTTGATGATTTTGAATAAGATGAGAATTATTTTGGTTCTCAGAGCTCCACTTCACCTGGAACTGCTGGGCAACATTTTCCTTTTGTTCCCCCGGTAAGCATCTTCCATCTGTTTCTCCAGTTCTCTTATTTTCCACATATCTGATTCCTCCTGAATCTAGATTTTTTTTTTAAAGGAAAGAAATTAAAATAAGTTACTGAAAATAACACTTTACATCACAAAAAAAGTAACTAAAAATACAGTCTGCACTAATTATGGGATTTTAGACTGGGTTATGACCAAGAACCTGGGAAATTCTGGTTTTTCAATGTGATTAAACAATCCAACCCAGTAAATCTCAAATATGTAGAATTCTGCAGCAACAGAATTTTTTAACCCTTGCATGGACACACTTAGAATCTTATCAATTTTGTAATTATGTTGCAATTACCAAATGATAACCCTTTATGTTTCTAAAATGCTTTATCATTTTAAATGTATCATCTCAATTGAACCTTAAGAAATCTTATGAGGAAAGCAAAGCAAGATGCCATTATTATATTCTACTGAGAAGAAACAAAAGCTCAGAAATTTTACCAAAGTCAAAAAGCTAGTAAGGACAGGTCTTTAAACTTTCAGGCTAAGTTCCTTTTCACAACATTCTAATTTTTATTAAAAACAAAATAAAAAGACATGAGAATTGCTAGGGAATTTCTAGAGAATCAGATTACAACTGACCAAAAAATAAGAATATATTTTATTTCTAAATCCTCCTATTGCCCTAGCCGGTTTGGCTCAATGAACAGAGCAATGGCCTGCGGACCGAAGGGTCCCAGGTTTGATTCCAGGATGTAGCTTGGCTGTAGCTCCTCCCCAGTCCCAGCCCTGGTCAGGGCACGAGCAGGAGGCAACCAATCGATGTGTTTCTCTCACATCAATATTTCTCTCTGTCTTTTTCTCTCTCTTCCACTCTCTCTGAAAATCAATGGAAAAATATCCTCAGGTGAGAATTAAAAATAATAATAAAGTTTCATAAATTGCCTTAACAAAGTATTTAAAAATAAATAATCCTCCTATAATATTTTGTTAAATCTGTGCTACATTATCTTTTTTAGCCACCACTTTCAAATCTAAGTTCACGATTCAACTAGGGGTGATTTAAGGCAATTGCAGAGGCCACTTAGATAACAGTTATAACCTCACTCACAATCAAATTATCAGGTGACAATAGAGTAATACCTTTTAAGATCGAACTAGGAATTACACAGTTCACCAAAGAAAACCAAACAGGGGTCCTTGGCCCTCTTTTCATTATATGTGTTCTCCTAGGTGACCTCATCGACCTACTCTCATGACCTATGTCATTTCCTATATACCAATAATCCCCAAACCAAGAATCAACATTTCTCCTTTGCTCCATGTCTGAATTCCCAACTGTTTGGACATCCTATAAGCTCCTCACCGTCAACATCTTCAAACCAAACTAATTACATTTCCCATCATACTTGTCCCTTTCTTTTTTTTTTTTTACATTTACAAATATTAAATTTATTATAACTAGAATGAATTTAATGGTTCTCAGATTTGGCCACCTTATAGATCAGTTTGAGAGGGTTTTTAACAGAAAATACATTGTAACTTGGTCAAATTACACATAAAAAAAAACTATAAAGAAAAGTAACGCATCCCTCAGTTTCACATAATTAAAGAACAGCAGAAAGCACGCAAGCTACAGCATAGCTAAATTTACCAAACCAACCAAAGCCGGGGGGATTTTTCTCTTCTGATTATGTGTCATAAAAACGTCCACTGTCTTATATACACATGTATATAATGTTACATTCCAGCACTGTAAAAAGTCCCCTTTGTCCCTCCCCTCCAAAAAGTTTCAGTCTAGTCCCCAAACTTGGGACAGCGGCGCCCGCTCCTGCTCCCGGTGCAGTTCGATCTCCGTCAGCAGCTGCAGGTTCTCGGCGCTCAGCCGGTCCAGCTCCAGTTCCAGCTCCAGTTCCAGCTCCAGCTCCAGCTCCAGCTCCAGCTCCAGCTCCCAGACGCGCGCGTCGTCGCTGCTGCCCAGCCGCTTGCTTTCCAGCCGCAACCGGTTGTTCTCGTCCTCCATGCGAGAGAGGCACTTCTCCAGCTCCAGGTTCTCCCTGATGAGCTCCTGCTTGCTCATGTTCTGCAGGCTTTCCGCGTGGAACCGCTCGTCCGTCTCCGAGAAGTCCCGCTGCAGAAACTCGCTGCCGTCTCCGCCCATCCCGTCGCTGCCCCCATCCTCCTCACCCGCCTCTTCCATAAACTCTTCGTCGCTGGTGTCCGACTTGGCCGCAGCCCGCTTGGGGTAGAAGCCGGTTTTGAGGTCCGGCTCCTCCTGGTCATGATCATCCATGAGGAACTGCGTGGTGTTATAGGGCGCCACCGGCTGGCCCTTGGCGAACATCTCGGCTCGAACCCTCGAAGCTCGAAGACTCTGTTTCTCGTCGAACTTTCTCTTCTCCCAAGTCAGCTTGTAGTACGGCTTCCAGTGCCGCTTCTTCTTGGAAGGGCGTCGCCTGTGTTTCTTCTTGCCCAGCTGTCTCTGCTGCTGTTTCCACGACTCCTCGCCTCCAGCGGCAGGAGCCCCCAACTTGTTGGCTTCGGAGTCATGACACCGTTGGGTGAGCGGCTCGGTCTCGGGCCGCTGTTCCCCTCCCGCTGGCGGCGGGGCGGTTCCGCCAGCGGACAAGTCATCTCCATCTCCATTCTGGCCCTTTTCGTCCGCTTCCAGGCCGCAAGGTTCTGGACAGACCTGGAAGGAGACGGCTGGGGGTCCAGGCTCCCTTCCCCCTCTGGCCCTGGATGGCCACCCGGCTGGGGGAGCGCTCTTGCTTGCCACCTACTGTCATCCTCGGGCACCGGCTCCTCTGCGGGGAGGGGGGTGGGGGAGGGGCGGTCGGGGTTCCGCTCTTCGTGGACAGCATCAGCACCTGCACAGTTGCCAGTTTGAGGCTGGTGCTGAAATTCCGACACGAGTGGCTCGGTCATGGCAACAAGAGTCCTCAAAGTTTGAAGAATTTTGGCTGCAAGTCCTTGAAGAAAAAAGAGGTTTTTCTTTTCTTGAAGAAAAAAATGCCCAACAGATTCCACTTCGGTAATTCCTGCAGTGATGCCTTCAGCCGGTCCTGTCAGCAAACTCCAATTGCAACTTGGGGGCGCTCAAGTCAGTAAAGGGTTAAGCGCTGCCGTGCGATCAGCTAAGCAGTTCCAAAGGGGTGCAGCAGCAGGAACAGCACGGAATGTACGAAGGGGGTCGGCCTCGAGCCTCCCCGCAGAGCGCCCCCCACGATGGAGGAATTGGTGGGCTAGATGAGGTTAAGTCCAGTGGGTTAAACCCAGCCCCGAAGGGGTTAAAACTACCCGATGACGCTGCCTCTGAGGGGCCGGACCCACAAAGGGTTAAATCCCCTGCC